AATTTTAAACGCTATTTTATTAACACAAACAATGTTTTGTTATAATGTGGAGTTAAAAAGAGGATATGAAACTGCCTATGTAACATGAGTACTACCTCTAAAAATTTCATGTGTGTATATAGAAAAGGAAAAGGAAACACATTAATGAGTTAGCAGTGATTGTATTTGGGTGGACAGGCATTTTCTCACCCTATATTCAATGTTCTGTATTTTGTATATTTTCAACCATGAGTGACCACTCATAGACAATACGGAAGAACAGTCTTTGTATTTGCAAGTCTCCCAACCGGATGAGCTGAGCTCTCAACATGACCTCTAGTCTACCTGTCACATGTCCCAAAGCAGAGCAGTCAGAGGCCCCTGGCACCTGGCTTCATTATGTGGGTACAGTCATGACCCATTGTCCCCACCCAGGAAGTGGATTGGCAATACTGGGGTAAAGCCACAAGCCATGGGCAACCCCACAAGCCCTGCCCAAGGCTGCCTAGAAATGCCCCTTTCAGCACAGTGACCACAGCAGAGATCACAAGCTTGCAGACAGCCCTAGCCCCACACTGTCCAGTCCACCCTGTGCTTAGTGCTACATGGTGTTATGTTTGTGTTTGGTTTCATTAACTGAACTATCTGACAATTTCTAAGTGAAAGACCCCACAGAAAGATCTAGTTTTCTGTCCTCTCTTAAAAATCAGAAGATCCAGGCCACATGGCAACAGACAGTTGCAACAGACTCAGAGCCACTCCCTTAGACAGGATGTGGGCCCAGCTGTAACAGCCTCCACCACTCCCTATTGCCTCCCAGGCACCAGTGCTGATAGATGTGCTTGCACTGCTGCTTTTCTAATAGCAGAATGATATGGAAAGTGAGGTGTGTTCTGTGTCTGTGTTCCAATTAAAGGAGGAGTCATGAAATACAGGTTAGGAAGACTGTGGGTATCAAAAAAAAATGGAAGCAGCTATGTTTTTTAGGCACTTCTGTTCACTTATGTTACCTCCCTGACCCCAGTGAGTCTTTTAGTTTTCTACCTCTGGCCTAGAGGGCTCTGGAGGAATAAGGAAAGGAAAACTGCATTCCTCCTCATTTCCTGGAGATTCTTGGCAGAAAGCACTGCCTACCTCCCGTGCTCCATCCCCGGCAGTTGGTCCTGCCCGGCACCTGTAGTCACCAGACTTTCCCCCAAGCAGCTGGAAGAGTGGGCCACACAGAGCGAAGCTGCCCGAAGGCGCAGAGTCACACCCGTCCCTTGTGGCCCGTGAGCTGTGCCGTCATTCTGGACACAGGCTCCCAATCCACACCCCCCCACCACTAGAGTTGAAGCTGGTTTTGTGTATGATGATTTTGTGCAGAGGCCCAGGTGCTACCAAAGTTGCTGTAGCTTCAGCTTCTACAAAATCCTGGGGCAGAAGCAGAAATGATATCAGTGGGCTCAGAGTCAGACCTGGGTGGTCACCACAGGGCTAAGTTCTATGACCCTCCTGAGGAACCGCCCCCTTTGTTGTCCTGCACCTCCTCACAGGGAGACTGGCTGCCGTAAGGAGGTGAGACATGCCCGGGACACTCCATGCCCCATGGCCCTCCGCATGCCTCAGTGGGCACATCAGCATTAAGCTCAGAGGATGTGCAGCCCTGTCCTGGACACCTGGGCTGTGCAGAAAAATACAGGCTGACTCCTGGTGCCCGAGCTGGGGGTGGGAGAGGCCCTGGGCTGGGATGCTCCTGAGTGAGTTTGGGACTTTGGCTGAGGGGCACAGCTGAGCCCCCACCTCTGTGGGCAGAGGCGTCCCACGCAGGCCTTACAGAAGGCTGCCAGGGAGAGGGGTCCTGTCCATCCAGCCCCTCTATTACAGAGAAAAGGAGGCTGAGGGCCAGGAAGGGGCAGGATCTTTCCTGACGAGACAGGCTGAAATTAGTGAAATCAGAACTGAGAGCCAAACCGCAAATCACTGAATTTTGTCTTCCAAGACAGCCAGCTCATCCTTCTGTGCGCACAGCACATGCCTTCCTGTTCTTTCCATCGCCTTTATCAAAGCCACTCCCAGGAAAAGCAAGGAGGAAATGACAGGTGCAGCCTGTGGTGCAGGAGTTACAAAGTACCCCAAGCAATAGAGCCATAATGGAATGTGCAGGATGAAGAGAGGAGCCCCACGGTGCCCCAGTGGCCAGGTGGAGGCCTCCTGGCTGCACCCCCAGGCATGTGGGGCAGGTGTGCAGGCCCACAGGCCTCATGCTGGGTTTAATGGTCTGCTGTTCCTCTTCTAACATTCTTAATATTTTTTGAACGAGGGATCCCACATTTTCATTCTGCACTGGGCCTGCACTGCAAATCATGAGTTGGGCCTCACTCACCAGTCATTAATTGTGTGTCCTTGAGTAAGTATCTTAGCCTCTGCAAGCCTCAATTTTCTCCTCTGTACAATAGAAACAGTAATATCACCTATTTCACAGTATTGTTCTGAGGATGAATTAGAACATGCAGAAGTCTCTGCAGGTGTCCGGCATATAGGAAATACTTAACCAGTGATAGTTACCACTATAGATAAAACAATAATTACAGACGAGTATGTGACACAGAAATGCCCTGCTCAATAAAAAGGATATTAACAACCAAATTCCAGATCTGGTGACCCAGGAAGGTCACACGTGCCCAGACACCGGGCCTGTTCCCCTGGCCTCTTACCTGCCCGGAATGGCTGTGTTTGCATCTGTAAGCGGATCTTGATAAGGTCCATGGGTGCACCCAGCCCCACAGACACCACGCCGGCCACCATGCTGGCCAGGAGCAGGTCAGGCAGGGTGCGAGGGGGGCTGGCCTCGGGCTCCCTGCCGTGGTGCTGGCTCAGGAACCTCTGCGTGTTACTGAAGACCCCGAACACCACTGAGTTGTAGACAGCAATGCTGGCGAGGGGAAAGGACATGCCTTTGAAGAAGCCGAATACCTGTGGGGAAGCCCCGTGGGAGGAAACTTGAGGGCCCAGGGCTGCCTGCAGGCCAGGCCCCCTCTGCTGCCCCCAGCACAGACCCTGTCTTCCTGGAGCCTGCAGGCTGGTGGGGTGACAGCCTGGGACAAATAACTAATATGTCAGCGCAGAGAAGGAGGGGATGCTGATGTGACAGGGGAGACAGGCGGGTGAGCGGCTGCACTCTGCGCCAGGTGGGGTGGTCTTGCCCTGAGGAGGGACTGCGCTGCAAGAAATTTTGTTTCCTGAGAGGACTTCCCAGTCCTGGGCCTGGAACCTGTATTTGCCGCCAGAGTGGCAGTGCTCTTGGGCTTGAAAGAAGTCAGGCTGTGGCCGAGGGCGAGCCTGTGGAGCCCTGGAGGGTGATAAGCTTGCCAAGGACTGCACACACCTTCCTGACGTGCTGCTCAGCCTAAAGCAGTCTCCAGGCACTTGCCCTGCGCCCCAGGCCCTGGGGACCAATGAGGAGGAAGCATCCTATGCCCTGATTGTGCTCGAAGTCTGGAGACTAGAAAGGGGGGAGGGACAGGGACAGACGGACAGGCAATTAAAATTCAGTGTGCCAAGGGTGCAGAGAGGGGCTAGAAGAGCATCCCACAGCCCCCGACGGGCTCCTGGGCCAGCCTGCAGAGGGCGCTCCTGGGTGTGGGGCAGAATGGCTGGAGAGGGGCAGCCCCGAGAGGCCTCTGTGCACACGAGGATGCAGGAGGCTGAGGAGAGCGTGCTGGAGGCTGACGTCGGGGTCCCTTCCTCACCGCATTCTCAACAACACCACACATGCCCCACTGGAAACTGGAAAATTCCACAGGCCCTTGGAGGAGTCCAGGTAGCCCCCAGGTATTAGCCTCATGACAAGGATGAAAACAGGCCAGGAAGCCGCTGTGCAAACCCCAGGCTGTGCGCAAACCTGCTAACCCTGACCTGCATGTGCTCGCCCTATTTGCCAGAGGTGGGACAGCTCACACACACACTCACGCACACACACACACACACACACACCCTGCTCTGGGCTCTTCCTCTATAACAAGCTCCCTCAGATAACTTAGGGCATCACGAAGACCCATCGTGTCCACGGAAACCCGAGAGCTGGTTCGCTGGCTGGCAGACACTGCAGGGACCTGGGCCAGAACGGAGGCTCAGTGGTTGCCTTTCAGGGGCCTGAGAATCGCCCTGGGACAACTTGTACTAGGTTGCAGGGCACACTCCAATTTAAGGCAGCTCCTAAAGAGAGTAAGAACAACACCCCGACACAAAGCACCCTGAGGACAAACTCCAGGTGTGGGCAGGAGGCCCCCAGGCCCAGGGCACTTCCTGCGGTGGAGCCTAGTGGCGACAGACATCCACAACGGGGCGACATTCCCAGTAATGCACGGAAAAGCCCAGGCGGCTGTGGGGCTTACACCCAACTCTTTCTTTAAGTCAACAGGTTATTTCATCCTAAATTTTAAAATCTATTTTCAATTCCCCAAAGAGCGGCCTTAGAAAGTCTTCTCCGAAAGCACACATTCATTCTCAAGAAAAGCACCTGACGCATCTACAGAATATTGTTTAGGTTTTTTTCCCTTTGAAAGGAAAAAGCTTGGGCCTCCTGGTCTCGAGCCACCTGTGGTACAAGGAAGCTCGGGGCACCTGGGGTCAGAAGCTCCTGGCTCCTGCCACGTCCAGATAAAGGGGAGCCTGTGAGCACACGGTTTACTGGCCAATCATTCAGTTTTGAAAAATGGACCTGTTTTTGCAGGGATTTTCCACACCGTGGTTCTCATTCCTCAGGATTTCTCCAGAAAGGCTACACAAAACTGCTTTTTCCTCCCGATACCACCGCACCAGGCGGCAGGGTTAGGTTTAGGTAACACATAACATTTGAGGTGTGGTGTGAGATGAGAGGGGGAAATGGAGCCCAACGTGACGAGCAGGAATGAGCAGGCCGCCTGCCCACCATGCTGGTGGGAAGGCTGTGGCCATGGACCCCAGGCCAGGCAGGCTTGGCCCTGTCCCAGAGGAGGCCCTGGTCGCTTTGGCTGCAGCCCCGTCCAAGGGGCACTTACACTCTCCCTCCTGTACAGGGCGCGGACACAGCTCAGGGTGCTCCCGTTGTTGGCACCGGCCTGCAGGCGAGTCTGCAGAGAGAGGCAAGGGCGTGAGGGCCCGGGCAGCGACGGTTCATGTCCCCAGTGCCCCAGAGAGGCTGAGCTTGTAGCACTGAGGCCCAGAGAGGGGGAGGCCCTGCCTGCAGTAGCCCAGCCAATGAGGAGGTCTGGGTTTCTGTCCTGGGCAGCTGGGGCTCCATCTGCTATGTGCATTACATCTCTCAGTGTTCCGTGGAGACCCTGCTAAATACAGCAGGAGCTCTGGATCGGAGAGAGGAACAAAGGCCAGTTTGTTGTACAGAAATAATGCTGATTTGGGGACATACAACCCTAGCCTCTTGAGTACAAAAAGCTAACCTCTGCCAACCCCCCTCTGTCCTCTTAAATGTCCCCAGGGGTGACCTGCTCTTTTCTCTTCCAGAATCCCTTCATCTCTCACCTGGATGATGGGCTGGTCTCCTCAATGGCCTCCCACTTCCCTCCCACTCCTTCGTCCATGTCTACACCACAGTCAGACTGATCTTTTCCAAACCACAATGAATATGTCACTGCTAAAGCCCTCCAGTGACGTCCTATCAAACTTAAAACAAATTCCACACTTTTTACCAGCACCCAGGAAGCTCTCAGGAAGCACCCAAGCCTGCCTCTCAACCCTGAATGTCACTTCACCCATGGCCCTGCCCTCTGTGCCCACCATGTGGTACATTCCCGAGTCCCTGGAGTGTCAATTTTTTCATGTGCTCCCAGAACTATCCATCTGCTGTTCCTCCCAGAAAGCTCTCCCTCCAGCGTCTGCTCATCTTTTGCATCTGAGCTTAAATGACGCAGTGGTGTCCTCTGCCTATTTTCTTAGGGTTTATGTGGGCTCCCTTATACTTCCTCCTCACCCCTGGAGCTGCATGTGGCCCTGGAATGCGGTCCCTTTGCACTGGCTGAATGAGGAACTAGATGCTGAAGGCATGGCTTCCTCTAATGGAGCTGGCTGTGGTGACCACGGGCATCCACTGACAGACACCAAGGGTCTGATTAAGCCCACAGAAGTGCCCCAGGCACCCCCCTGGCGTGGTAGGTCAGGAGCTGTGAGAGGCAGAGAGGAGATCTGGAAGCTGCCCCCACACTGCCCAGAACCCAGGGTACAGACTAGCGCTTCATAGCAACAGCCTGAACTCAGGCTGCAGGCCAGTGGAGGAGGCCCTGGAAGAGCATATATCAAGAAACCGACGGCCTCTGAGATGAAAACCACGGGTGATGTTTTCCTTCATCGAACTCCTCTTTATTTTCCAACTTTTCTACAATAAGCAGGGGTTACTTTCATTATTTTTAGCTTATTAAATTTTTAAAAATAATTTTAAGGAAAACACCTAATATGGGAATCAATTCTCTTAATAAAAATGTCACCATTACATATAAAGCCAAAGTCTCCGCTGACCAGCCCCTCACCCCTTCTAATAACCACAGCTAACAGCATGCCCACGAGTCTGACAGGCATTCATCTAAGTAGCTCGACAGTCACAGACAGCGTAGGAAATATGCTTATAGGTATGATTCATAAATGGTACACAGTGCTCAAAAGCATGACTCCCATAATCTGGGAAATGTATTTATTGACTTACTCAACCAATATGCATTGAGTGCCTATTTCATAGCAGTCACTTTCCAACCTTAGGGAATTTAGTAGCAGAGAAAACAAACCACCTAACCTCATGGAACCTAAAACCAAGTGGGGTTGGGGAAAAAAGTAAAAAAAAAAAGATTTGCAAGTACATATATATTCCAGATGATGGCAAGTGCCACAGAGAAAAATAAGCCAAGAATCAGAAGGACTGGGTGGTGGGAAAGACACCCTGGAAGATGCAGCAAGATGAGGTCTGGGCCTTCTTAGAAGCAGAACCACAGAGGTCTTCCTTGGGTGGGGTATCTGGGGCATCCCAACCAGGCCAGGGATGAGGGCCAGGGGAGGTGTGGGTGCGGGCATCTCTCAGCCCCACTTAGGGCCGGCAGGAGGCTGAGCACTCTCCCGTGCCAGCCCCAGCTCTGGCAGGGCTGTGCCTGGTAGTGAATCCACAAAAGGACTTAGCCCTCAGGAGGGGTCAAGTTCCCACTAATAGCTTGACTGGTTGAGTCACTCAAGCAAACGGTACATAACAAAACTCAACTCAAGAGTCAAACCCAGATCATAGAAAGTTTCAAAACCAAAGAGCAAAGCTCTGCCAGCCACTCTGAGCGCCCAGGGAGGCACAGCTCAGGTTGCCAGGGCCTCCAGTTACAATAGGAGCTGCATACCTGGGGAAACACCAGGCATCTTATAGAATTTATCTCAGTGAATCCTACAAAGGCCATGTGGCATGGGTACTAGCCCTATTTTACAGATGGAGAAAACTGATTCCCTGTATTAGTTTCCTATTACTGCTATATCAAATTATGACAAATTCAGTGACCTAAAACCAGGTAATGTATTCTCTTATAGTTCGCTAGGTGGTCTAAAGGCAGCTGAACACTGATTAGAAAATCCTGGCTACACTGCATCAGGCATAAACCCTAAAGGCATCAGCTGTGCCAGGAGCCAGGTGAGAACTCTGACCCCAGCCCCACAACCACAAAGCAGCCAGTGGGTGGCTCTCCCACCTGGGATGAGGCAGCCACAGGCAGGGGGAGAAGCATTTGACCCAGGTCAGCGGCCCAGGTCGTTTTAGCCTGGCTCTTCTGCAGGTGAGCCCCAGGACCTCAGACAAGCCACTGGTCTGCCTTCCCACCCCTGGGTGTGTTCATCAGGACAGGAATGACATGCTCATTGCTCTAACCTCAGTGCCACAGTGACAAGCTTCATGCCAGCCCCACCAGGGAGGTGCTCTTTGCCCATTTTATAAATCAGGGAACTGAAGCTCAAGGAGATTAAGAGCTGTGCCCTGGCCATAGAAGAGTGGGTGGGGAGGCTGGGCTGGACTCCAGGTTATTCTGACTCCAGAGCTCTTGCCTAGACCTTTCTTAGTGGGCAGGGACTCTAGAGGAAATGTCAGCCAGAAGGAAGGAAGGAGGATGTTCCGGGGAGAAACAAGGGCCCCAGGCCACACCCCCACACTGGCTGCAGGGAGGCTGTGTAAGCTGGAATCACCGGGCTGGTACCCTTAGGGGAAGTTCTCAGGCTGAGCAGACACTCAATTTTATGTGTCAGGAAGGGTTCCCTTCTGAGGCTCGGAGGGTAGAGTGGAGAGAAGAGCTCCAGCCCTTTCAGGTGATGTGTGGCCAAGCCTGGGGTGGCCAGACTTGCCTGTGCAAGGGGATGGGGGACCCCATAAGCTCCACAGCCCCTGACCAGCCTGGGGGTGAGGGAAGGACACTGTACCAGGCAGACACCAGCTGGCCCATGCAGGGCATGACTGTACGTCTCATAGGGGCAGGGAATGAGCTTGCTTTACCCACCAGGGCCTTGCTATACCACAGCACCTGCATAGAGAAAGGGTCCAGTATGCACTTGATGTATGGGCAAAAGGCAGGGCCTGTATGAGGGACACAAGAAGCCAGGAAATATCTTCCTGTTTCAGGCAAGTAGGCTGAACACCCCCATCAAGAAGAGAGCCCACCTGGGCTCTGACCTAGGAGGGGCCCATTGTCATGCAGGGTGGAAGGTGGAGGCAAAGGAGACTGCAGCGGCCAATGAGAAGGGCTTAAAAAGTTCCTCTTTGTGCACAAGTCAGGGTTGTAGACTCTCTGGGGATCAGAAATAGCGGGCACATTCCTGGAAGTAGACTCACTCCAGGCCCCTTCCCAAGCAGTAATGGCTACTGTACCTTGACTGTGTCCAGAGGGTGGCCGACGATGACACTGGCTGTACCTGTGGATCAAAGAAGAAGACCTGCTCACTCAGCCCTCGCACTCGCACTCCTTGCTTGCACCGGCTGATTCTTGGGACAAGGGCTCAGGCACTTACATTCACTTATTCAGTCAATATCCAGTTGCCAGAGAGCCCCCCCTACCTCCCCACCAATGTGCTAGGCACTGGCATAGGTACCAAGTAAGGCAGAGAAAATAGAGTAAAACTGGGGTTCTTCCTCAAGGAACAAGCACCCCATAAAAGGACAGGGAATGTGCTGGGACACCTGGGTATTCACATGCAAAAGAATGAAGTTAGAAGCCCTACCTCACGCCATATACAATCGTTAACTCAAAACAGACCAAAGACTGAAATGGAAGCTCTAAAACTATAAAAATCATACACTAAAACATAGGGAAAAATCTTCATGACCTTAGATTTTCAATAGATTCTCAGATCAACAACAAAAGCACAAATAACAAAAGAAGATGTCATAAAAATTAAAAACTCTGTACATCAAAGGACTCTATCAAGAAAGTGATGACAACTTAATAGAATAGAGGAAAATATATGCAAATCATATATTTGATAAGGGTCTAGTATCCAGATATAAAAAGGACTCCTACAACTAAAAAATAATTATTTTTGAATGGCAAAAGACTTGAACAGACGTCTCTCCAAAGAAGATATACAAATAGCCAGCAAATACATGAAAAGATGGTCAACATCATTAGTCTTCAGGGAAATGCAAATCGGAATCTCAGTGAGATTCCCCTTCACATCTACTGAGATCGTTATAATTTAAAAAAAGGAGAATAACAAGTGTGATCAAGGATATGGAAAAACTGGAACTCTTGTACATTGCTGGTGGAAATGTAAAATGGTATAGCCACTGTGGAAACGAGCTTGGCATTTCCTCAAAAAGTTAAACTTAGAATTACCATTGTGCTAAGTGAAAGAGGCCAGACAAAAAGGTCACATATTATATATAAGATTTATGCAGAAGAGGCAAACCCATAGAGACAGAAGGAAGGTGAGTGACTGCCAGGGCCTGGGGGAGGGGCTCCTAATGAGTCCGGGGACTTTTGGCACTAAATAAAGGGGAAGGTTTGCATGACACTGTGAGTGTACTAAATGCCACTGAATTGTACACTGTAAAATGGTTAGTTTTACGTTATGTGAATTTCACCTCAAAACATGGAGGAGGGTATGAGGAGAAAACCAGACGCTTTCCAGTTACCTGCAGGTTACTTAGCAGCTCTTAGCAAGTGCAAGTGGGATAAGAGAGCACCCAGCTCATGGTTCCGTGGCGAGAATGAGATGAGGTGATGCATGTAAAGTACCAGCAGAGAGCCTGGCCCTTACAAGATGTTCAAAATGAGGTGCTGTTGCCATTTTTTTTTTAAAGAAGGCCTCTTGGAAAAGGTGACAGGGACTCTGTATCATCTCATGGAAAAGTGCCCATCACACACTTATTCACAAGGCCTGAACGGTTGTTTGGTGAGAAGTATGGCCATCCTGAGGCCATGGAGAGGAAGAGGCCCTTGAAGCAGCAGTCTGAGATTTCAAGGTTGAAACAGAAGCCATTCCTCTGAGGCAAATTTCCCGTCAAGCTGAAGAGGGAGGCGCTCTCTCTGCTGGCAGGGCTGATTTAACCAGGTAGGGCAGTAAGGGACCCTGGAATACTGGACACTCACTGAGAACAGATGCTCCTTTGGTCTAGCACCTCCAGGCCTCTGGGCCCCTTCTTCCCGCAGAACGGGGCCGAGGCAGAAGCTGATGACAGGCAGCAGAAAGCTGGGGCTTCACTCCAGAAGAGCCCCTCCCAGCTGTCGGGTCCCCAGGCTCTAGTAGCAGCCCCAGAGCCCACCTTGGGCCTGTATCTCCCTGCTAACACATTACCCCATCCAAAAGCAGGGAATGCAACATTCCTTGAGATTACCAGGTCAGTGGTTTTTCAGGGACTTGGGATGTCACAGGCCAGTGACCCTTCAAACAAAGTGTGAGAAGGTAATGGTGAAATTTCATCACACAAGGTCATTAAGAAAGAAAGAGCTATAGGTGGGTGTAGGGTTAAGATAGCCTTGGTAGCCGAGTGTCTGGATTGGAATCCCACGACTCACGTGCAATGCATGGCCTTGGGCAAGTCATTGACTTTCTCTGTGTATTCATTTCCTCATCTGTAAAATGGGAATGCCATAATAGTAGCCATCTCGGGGTTATAACATGCATAAACAGAAACAAGAGACCACATACAGTATGATCCAATTTATATAAAATGGCCAGAAAAGGTGAATTTATAGAGCTGAAACTAGATTAGTGGTTGCCCAGAGAGAGAAGGAAAGGATGGGGCTTAAATGGGCATGAGAGATCTTCTGAGGGGTGGAAACATTCTAAAACATTTATGGGTAAAGTTACTAAAAATGACTGAATTGTACACTTGGAATGGGTGTATTTTCAGATATGCACAATAACCTCAATCAGGTTGTTTTAAAAACATACATGTAGCACCTGGCACCTACTAAGTACTGACTGTTACTACACTCATCCCCATTGCACAGAAGTAACAAAAAAGACATATTAACAGCACCCAAGTAAGGACAATCTCAGAGTAAAGGACAAACTGCTACTTGCTTTTTGAGTTGGTATCATCAGAGGCTGAGCAGCCTTACCGTCCAGGGCATTTCTCAAGCCAAGCCCTGGCAGCCGGTTGGTCTGGCTCTTAAGGGGACAGCTGAGGGAAGGACCTTCCTCTGCATGGCTGAAGGGTTGTCCAAAGAGAGCCTGATATGCCCGGTGTGCCTCCCGGTGCAGCCCCCCCAGCACACACACTGGGAAAGTTAGGAGAGGAAGGTCTCAGTCCAACACGGGGAAGCCTGCACAACAGAACTGCAGGGTTGGGGTGGCGGTGTGTGTGAAGGGAACCACCTCCGCTCAGGAGAGTCAGAAGCAGGGGCCCTGCTGCCACCTGTGGGGGGACGGACGGGGACTCCCGCTAGGTGGGAGGGGCCGCCAGAAGGGGATTCTGGGATGCTGCATGGTTTGTTGCTTTTTCTATTTGTGTTACCTTTTCCTACAGATCTGGTTTCCTCCGTGCCTAGAACGCTTGGTGGGGCACAAACGCGCTACATAGCCTCTGCCTCAGCAGCTCAGTATTTTGTTTTGTCTCTGGGGAGGGGCTGCATTCGCCAACATCCCCTTTCTAATAATGATCCTTTTAGATGGGCCCAAAAGAGAGACAATACTTTGCAATAAGCAAAGTCCCTCAGACCGTCCTCCAACCTCCACCAAGAGCTGAGGAAAGACAAACAGACCTATTGAAAAGAAGAAATGGAGAAAGCAAGGAAATGGATGCAACTCTTGGCCAACCAAACCCATCCCGGGCCCAGCAGGAGAGAAGCTCCGGGAGCACTACGAAGGGCCCAGCGGGTCCAAGGGCGCCGGGAGGAGAGGCCTGGTGACTGACGGAGGCTGCAGACGTGCAGGCCTCGCCCCTCTGGCAGTGGGCACCTGCAGCCCCCGCAGCACCCAGCGCCACGTTCCGCTGCCCGAGCCTGGGCGCCCCCTAGGGCCGGCCTGACGGCGAAGGCCGGCGCCCCATCCCGCGCCTGGGCGCCAGCAGCCAAGCGCCACCTTCACACACCAAGTCCTGGGAGCTGAGTCCCCAACTTCAGGTGCATAACCGGTCGCCGAGGAGTGTGAACGCGCCGGCACGCCCCGTTGGCTGGCAGTTTGGACGGGCAGACGGATCGTTACCAGATTAAGCTCCGCGGGTCCTGACTTTGAGGCAGATGGGAGGCCAGGTGAAGAAACGGGAGGCTCGCGGAGTTTAGCCGGGGCAGCAGGCGGGGCAGGGCCAGCCCGTCGGCTGTGCGCGGCCCGCGCGCCGGGGGCATGATGGCGCAGGGCTCCCGTCGGGCGCAGGGCTCCCCGGCCGCAACGGCCCGGCTCCCGCGCCTTCTCTCCGGGGCGGAGTCTCCCGCGAGCGCTCGCCTCTGGGGGTCCCTCCCATCCAGGGGTGGGCTCACCTCCGATCCAGCCCGCCGCGAAGTCGTCCAGCTGGAAGCTGCCCATGGCCGGGCCGGGGCGCGGTGCCTCGCCCTCCCGGGCCAGGTGCGTGCCCAGTCCGAGGCTGCGGGGCATGCCCGTCCGCTCCCGCGCGCCCCAGCCAAGTCCGAGGCTCTGGGACGCTGCAGCGCCCACTCCGAACCCCGTCTCCCCGCCGCGCGCACCTCTCCGAGCGCCCCCAGCGGCCCTTAAAGGCGCAGCGCTCGCGCGGGGCGGGGGTGCGCCCAGAGGCGCCCAGCCGCGCACGAAGACGCCGGGGCAGCCGGTGACTTGCCGTCGGCCTCCCGCTTGCCAGCTGCAGAGCCTCAGCGTCTTGAGGCGCAAATGCCCCCCGTGTCTGCAATTGTTCACAGCTCATCCGAGACGCTGGAAATGATTTCGGGGACATTTTTGCAAAGTTCATTACAAGAGGTAGGGAGGGAGGCTTTATCCAAGGTCGGGGAGTATTTGCTCACAAACACCAAGACCTTTCTGTGATAGGACTATTTACCTGTCACACATGCTCTTTTCAGCTAAAACGGCGCTGGCATAATTTAAACTGAATGTCCAATCATTAACTAAACCAGAAGTTAATTCTTTGAGGAGATGATTGAAAGCCATGGACAGTTTTCTCTGTAAAACACACAGGACACACAATTTCACAATTTGCTTTTCTTAAAAAATTGAAGTACACTTAACAAAATATTGTATTAGTTTCAGATGTACAACAGAGTGGTTCAACTTTATGTACACTGTGAAGTGCTCGCCATGACGGTGTGGTTACCATCTGTCACCATACAAAGTTATTACAGTATTATTGACTATATTCCCTAGGCTGTACTTTTCGTCCTCCTGAGCTGTTCATTTTATAACTGGAAGTTTGTACTTGAGCCCCTTCACCTATTTCACCTCTTCTCCTATCCCCCTCTTTTCTGTCAACCATCAGTTTCTCTATTTATGAATGTGTTTCTGGGGTTTGTTTGCTGGTTTGATTATTTGTTGTTTTATTTGTTCATTTGCTTTGTTTTTTAGATTTTACATATAAGTGAAATCATGGCATTTGTCTTTCTTTGGCTTATTTCACTTAGCAATAATGCCCTCAAGGTCCATCCATATTGTGGCAAGATTTCATTCCTACTATGGCTGAGTAATATTCTGTTTTGTATATGTACCGTATCTTCTTTATCCATTCATCTATTGATGGACACTTAGGATGCTTCCATATTTTGGCTATTGTATGGGTATGAGGTCCTGGCAGCCAGGTAGCATGGTGCCTCAGGTAATGCTTGACTAGCAGCTCCCAGAAATCACTGATGCCCCAAATCCCCCATCCCACCAGGGCTCTCTGGGCAACCCGCACCCTCTGCAGATGAGCAGACCCCAAACCCTGCACAGCCATCTTGGCTGAAACCCTTCCTGCAACCCCCTGACACACACCCCTCAGCCTCTCCACCCACCTGCTTCCAGGCAAGCGAATGGATCCGGAGCTGCCTTGCCCTGAGGACGTTTGCAAGACAGAGTCTGTGCTGAGAGACATACACGTCCCCTCTTCCTCCTCACAGCAGCTGTGAGCAGGCACTAGTATCACCCCCACTGACGGCCAGTTTTATGCATCAGCCTGGCTGGGTGACAGTGCTGAGTGATTCAATCAAATACTAACCTAGGTCTTACTGTGAAGGCATTCTGTAGATGTGGTTAACATCTGAGACCAGTGGAACTAAGTAAAGGAGCTTACCCTGTGGGCTTCATCCAATCAGCTTAAAGGTCTGAAAAGCAGAGTGGAGGTTTTCCTGAGGAAGAGCAAATGCCCTCTGTTGAATACAGTGTAGGCTCCTGCCTGAGCATTTCCAACCTGCCAGACTGTGATGAATAAGCCCATGTACAGTGAGTGGGGCATGGGGTCTTGCCCAGCCAGACCCCACAATTATACAATAAAAATGTTTCCTATTGGTTCTGTTTGTCTGTGTGGGGAAATGGAAGTTCCTATGGCCAGGATTCTCACCAGATCTTAAACCACTTGATGATATAATTGGCCCGCTGCTAGGCTACCACTTCCACACCTGTAGGCAATAAGCTATTATTGACTGAGTCACTATATAAAGAGCTCTGCCCAGTGCTCTGTGCAGAGGCAGAGATGGAGGTGGATTACGGACCTGCAGACTGCTGGATGCAGATGTGACTCTAGTGCTCGACCTACCACTAGGAAAATAAAGCCAGGTATAAACTCTTTTACTCCAAGAACGTTCCATTGTCATTTCTCGGTTTCACTGAATCCATTGTGAACTTGCCCAGGGCTGAAACCCTCAAGTAAGACAACTGGCATCATCAGCAGGATTCACTGTAGGCCAAAGAACAGAACAGGCCACCCTCACCGGAGCGGTACTTCAGCGGGCTGCCACTGTGGATGGGGAGACATTCAGTGTCCCCCATTGGGCATGCGGTCTGAGGTGGCCTGCCACCGACTGGGCCCCACCCAAAGACTGGGGCATGTGGAGGTGACACCTGAGGCAGTAGAGGTGGCTCTCAGCATAATAAGGAGGTCCTTTGAGAAGCAGAGTGCCTGCGAGGCAGCAGGAACCACAGGTTGGCTGTTTCTCACAGTACTTAAAAAGGCTACAGAAGAAAGAATGTGCTCCTGCAAGAGACACGAGAAATGGCAGCGTGAGAAGGTGAGCTGTGAGGCGCTGTGGAGAAGGTAGAAGATTCTTTGCAAAATGAGACAGTGGCCCTCCAGGGTGCTGTGAAGGAGGCAAAGGCCATGGAGGAGAAGGATGTATTCCTGTGAGAAGCGCAAGAAGAGACAGCGTGGGAATGTCAGCTGCGAGGCATCGAGGCCAAGGTAAGAGAGCTGTTGAGGACTGAGCTGGCATTGCTGCGAGGCCCTGTGGAAAAGGTAAAGGGCGTAGCAGAGGAGGCACCTGGGGGAGTGGAGAGGAAGGTGCCATCAGCCCTGGAAATGGAGGAGCCAGGGAAGGATGAAGGGGTGGTGCCAGAGGCACTGACCTCTTCTCTATTGAAAGCCTGCCTGGTTGTAGTAAAGAAAATAAAGACACGGCACCTGCAGGTTCCTCTGGGAGAGGTGCAGCCCCCTCCCCAGGTCATGGAGCACTCTATGCTCTGCCCCCATCCTCAGGCTGAGCTGGTGGATTTGGGCTCCTGGTTTGGGCAGAAGCCCTAGGAGTCTATATTAGCTTGGCTCCTGCATCTTTGGGATGTAGGGGAAGATGGAATTGTTCTGTCTGGATCAGAGATGGGAAAGCTGGCTTCCCTGAGAGTTCATCTTGCCTTGAGGCAGTGATTACAAAATGCACATCAGACACCAGAAAATCACTCCCTCCCTTGTTGGCTTATAGCCCCACTTCATGCTGTGTGGCCCAATCAGGTCGATTTACCATTGTCCCCCTAGATGGCAGACATATGCTGAGCTCCGATAGGTGTTACAGGAGTTAGGCATGAAAAATGCCATTTATAGTCCAGAGAATTATGGCGGAGATGAGGAGCCTTTTACTGTGGGAATGAGAAATGAGCTGCCTCAAACAGCTCCAATGTCCCTCTTTGGGCCCCTAGTGGCCAGTCTTGCCCCTCACTTAGGGCAGCCCATAAGTGAGGTTACCCATATGGTAGCAGAATTGGGAGAGGCTAAAGCAATGAGAAGCCCTGGAAGGGGGTATCAAGCCCCTTAGACATGCTAGCACATATGGCTGCCTCCCCTTTACAACAGCAAGTACAAATTAAGGAGGAGTCATTGAAGCTGGGGTTTAGCTACCAGAAAAATACCTTGCTGCCAGCACCAACTGCCCTAAACCCTGGAGACTCCATTCAGTGAACATGGCCTTGGACATTTCGATGCATGGACCAGTGATGGCTGGCCCTCTAGCACCTTGGGTACAAGGCCTGGAAGCTGGCCTCCTGTGTATTCCTGGAGTAACAGCAGAGTGGCCCCCAGAGATCATGGTAGTATATCCTACCTGGCCAGAAGGTAGGAGCATCTTACTGGGGAGTTTTGCTTTATCATTATGGCCAGTGCATGTGCCTCCAGTAGCACTAAACACAGACCCCCTCAGTAACCCCTACAGGGAGAGGGGTAAAGGTATAGTATACTAGATCCAGACAGGACCCCCTTCCTGCCATGGTCCTATCACAGGACCATTCTCTTGCATGCATCCTACCTGGTGGACAAGAAAGATTTCCCTCTGTTGGTGCCATTAAAACATGTATTTTATTGCCCTTAAAGTTAATCTTCTCTAACGTGTTTGTGGATTGGGCATACATCCTAACACACCCTAGCAAAAAACTGCTACTTGCTGTGGTGCATGGAGCTCCGTATCAGTTCTGCTACTGCCCTCCCATGGAAAGTGTGCATCGTGAACGGGACTGGTTTGAATACAGCTTGGATGACTGCTTGGTGGCAATTGATCTCCTTGGGCTTGAAGACAATTATTATTGTTGTTGTTTCAAGGTTTCAGCTTTCTTGCACAGGGACCATAACAGATTGATTTCTCCCATAGAAAGTGAAAGTCATGAACTCCTCTGAGTAGAACTGGTTTGAATACAGCTGGAATGACCTCCTCAGGCTTGAGGATTATTATAATTTTTGTTATTATCTGTATGTTGTTGTTATCTTCCGTTGCTATCGCAGAATCTGGTTACAGTGACCCAGCTTTCTTGCACAGGGACCATTGTGGAAGATTGAGAGCATGCAGATTGTGGGGTGAGAATCCCGGAGAAGTGGGGTGTGAGGAAAATGGAAGTTCCTATGGCCAGGATCCCTACCCAACCCTAAACTACTTGATGATATAGCTGGCCTGCTGCTAGGCTACTGCTTCCACACCCGTAGGCAATGAGCTATTATTGACTGAGTCACTATGTAAAGAGCTCTTCCCAGTGCTCTGTGAGGAGGCAGAGACGGAGGTGGATTACGGACCTGCAGACTTCTGGATGCAGACGTGATTCTAGTGCTTGACCTACAGTCAGGAGAATAAAACCAAATATAAACCCTTTTACCCTAAGAACATTCCATTGCCATTCCTCTGTCTCAGTGAGTCCATGGTGAACTTGCCCAGGACTGAAACCCTCCACAAGACAATCTGGAAGAATACTGTGTTCACCTGTAGAACAGGTGAGGACACTGCAGTTCACAGAGGTTAAATGAGGTTCTGCCCACTCAGTACACACCATGCCCCAGCTGGGAGGCAGTGGAGGCATGTTGGGGACAGCATGAAGATTGCTCTGGCCCTGCCTGGCCTCCCCCGCCACACCTCTCATCCTGCCCCTGACTTTCCCACTCAGCACCCCAGGCCTGAAGTGGCACTTGGTAGGGTGCCCACCCCCTTGGGCCTGCACTGGTAGTGCTGGTCCCAATCAGCCGTGGGCTCTGCCTTTCTCATTTCAAGCCCAGGCAGTGGTGCTTACTGCCCAGTCCCACTCAGTTCCCTGGGACCAAACAAGTACCTGGGGGTCCAGAGCCATGTCTTACTCTCAGGGACAGCCCTCCAGGGTCCCAGCTCCCTCTGGGCACAGGCTCGGCCTACACCGCCCATCCTGGGCCAGCCAGGGAGATAGAGTGGTGTCCTCTCTCCCTCACGCCCCCCCGACCAGCCAGGCCCTAGCCCAGGCCCACGCTCACTGGGGGTCGTGGCCTGGCCATGCAGAGGTGCCTTTGGCCCAACGGGGGCTTCCTGATCCCCCTTCAGGAAGGAAGATGCCTTGATATCCTCCTGTGCCCTGCTGGTTTCCGGCAGGGCTCTGGCCTTGGCACACAGGATCCAGAGAATGGAGACGGGGATAGTCTAGAGGAAGGGGCCTCTGCTGGGCCTGCTTTTCCCCACTGGCACATCCACGTCACATCATCAGGCCACCTCGCAGCCGCAGCAGCCAGCCACGCCTCCTTCTTCCAAATCAAGATGGAATCTGGCCACTGAGCTTGATCCACAAGGGCCAAGAGGCCTGTGAGGGGTGGGGCTTAGTGTCAACACTGCCCCCAGGCTGTGCCCTGCCATGCCTGGGTATGTGCTGGGACAGTTATGAGAAATGCAAGCTCCCTGAAGAGTGGCC